AATAAGCCCAGCATAGTCTGTGGTTTCAATAAGTGTATCATGTAGCCACACGAAGTCTTCATGTTGCCTTGTAACAGAAAACTCTGGGCTCTGAAAAGTGGGCAGTGTAGTCTGTAAAGAGGAAGAAGTTAATTGCTAACCATCACCTGATAATGTGGTTTGGGTTTCCTGGGCTGCACTATGGGAAAATTCTGCATAATAAAACATCATGATAAAGAAGTAGCAGTATATGATCTCCAACTACCACTTAGCCACAGCTAAGACTCAATCTGATCTTTAAGGAAGACTTTTCACAAAACTACACTTTTTGGAAGTTTGCCAAGGTATCAAATCAAAGAGAAAAATATCTACTAGTAAAAGAAAAAGTTCCAGGAAGTTAAACAACCCTACTTCCATCTTAAAAAAAGAAAAAAAGGAACTTATCCCAGTTATGACCAAAAAATATCATCATCATCATCATCATCATGATCTTTTTAAAAAAAGTCTTAGCTACTAGGGTGGTGGAAATTATCCTTGGCTTCCTTTGAACTCCTGTGAATGCTAATTTTATCTACTATGATCAAGTCAACTCAAGTAGAGAATCAAGTTGTCCGTCTTGACACTTTCCCTGAAGTATACCTGAGGTATACKAAGAATACCACAAACAAAAGGGCCTTCCAAACATAAGATTTAAAGCAAGCCACAAACACTACCTTCAGATGCAAATAAAACCAAAGGTGCAAGGTTTGAATTATATAAATAGGCAGCATCCAGCTACACTTTGTCATTGTGGCTTCACCTTAGCAGAAGGATGCTGAAGCAACAGCACTTGCTAACAGCAAGCTATACATATGAGAGAGGTTCACACTATGCAGTTGGTACACAGCAAACAGTAACCATTGTAGTTAATGGAATCAGTCTTCTCACATCCAAACGTGAACAAGGCTATAACCTAGCATTGTTAGTATTACCAAAGCCATTTTGTCACTTACCTTGGTGTGCACTGTAAACTTGACCTTATCTCTCTCACTGAGTGCATCAGGTATGTCAATCTGAAGTGAGGGATCAACATTCAGGTCCACAGACACAGACCTCAGCTGAAACACATTTTTTGAGTATTAATTTCATCCCTAAAAAGTATTCTTGATATAGATCATTTAGAACAAAGTCAGTTTTGATATTTGAAATTATAGGGAAACCTGCTCTTTAAGTCCAATCCATGTATCCAAAGCATTCCTATAAACTGAACAAAGCAACTAACTGTATGATTCTAATATCATGTACAGGAGATTGCATTTCTTATGACGGTACACTAACTAGATGAGTTCTTATGTAAATGTTAATGACAACATTCAAAAAGCATTATTATTAAATAATTTTAGCTGTAGATGGACAGCATGCCTTTGTTTATTTTTATGTGGTGCAAAGGATCAAACCCAGTGCGTCATACATGCTAGATAGGTGCTGTGCCACTGAGCTACAGACCCAGACCCTCAAGAAGCATTATTAGTTAGGCACAAAACTCCCAGCAGTTGGGGATGGGGCAGGCCAAGAAAGGAGGAGTTCAAAGCCAGTCTCAGCAACTTAGTGGAACCCTAAGCAACTTAGTGAGACTGTCTCAAAATAAAAAAAGGCTGGGGATGAGGCTCAGCGGTTAAGCACTCCTGGGTTGAATCCCCAGTAGCATTATTGACTGTAAAGATTATATATCACGAGGATCCAAAAGACTAGAAAAACCTTGGAAAATGACAGAGAACAGTCCCCTGGTATGCGCGGTCCTAGATGGAGAAATAAATGGACCTAATTATATTCAGACAGTTACAAACAGCTGAGAAATCTAGACAAGAAGGGTGAATTACAGAAACCAGATACTAACCAAAGCAGAATCCTACTATGGTTACACATGAGCACAAGTATGAGTCCTGCCCTGGAAACTAAGTGACTGACTTTATGAGCTGTAAATCTGGAAAAATGGGGTGGGGGGCCTACACACCCATCTTCATTTTGCCAGATTTAAGAAAATATTTCTTTTCAGAGTAAGGAAAAAAACAGTACAAACACTAAAACTGAGTTACTAGTAAAAAGCAGTTAAATAGTTTTATTACTAAATTTAAATCAAGTTAAATTCTTTAATTCTTTTTTTTTTTTGGAGAGGGAAGGCCAGGGATTGAACTCAGGGGCACTCAACCACTGAGCCACGTGCTCTGCCCTATTTTGTATTTTATTTAGAAACAGGGTCTCACTGAGTTGCTTAGCATCTTACTCTAGAAAATGTTCAGTGAAGTCTGAGGCGTTTCCCTTTTACATCTTTTTTTTTAAGAGAGAGAGGAGAGAAAGAAGAGAGAGAGAATTTTTTAATATTTATTTTTTAGTTATTGGTGGACACAACATCTTTGTATGTGGTGCTGAGGATTGAACCCAGGCCGCACTCATGCCACATCCCCAGCCCTGAGGTGTTTCCCTTTTGATTCTTGTCGTAAAGTCTAGGAACTGATGAACTTAAATAAGAAACCTGGCCCAATCACCTATAAAAAGACTACATTCGTTAAAAATATATAATTAGGGTATGGTAAAATGCTTGCCTACCATGCATGAAGTCCTGGGTTTGATTCCCAGTACCAAACAAACAAACAATAAATATAATTACTTCTCTCTCCCCTATCTTAGAAGTTGTAAGTACTTCTCTTTTCTGTAAGCATGGTGACAAAGAAAAGGTTTCAAGTTGTAAAAAACAAACCAGAGGTAGCCCTATAAAGATGGTTTTGAAGGGCTGGGGATGTGGCTCTGTGGTTAAGCAACCTGGGTTCAATCCCAGGTACCACAAAAAAAAAATCAAAAACCCAGAAAATGGCAACCAAGTAACCAAGCAGGATATGCTTCTCATATCACCACTAGAAGGAATTCAAACAAAAATACCAACAACTTGACAAGATAGTGTTAACCACCAAATAAGCAGGTCTGTATGTGGGCCTTAAATAATGATCTAAAACAGAATACTGACAGAATTCCCAGGGGAAGGAGGACATCACCAACTTTCTCACACTGTAGCATACAATCCTCCAGATGAAGCACACATCATCATGGAATAAAAAGTTGTAAATGTACTGGGGATGTCGCTCAGCGACAGAATTCTTGCTTATCATGTATGGGGCCCTGGGTTCAATCCTCAGCACTGGGGGAAAAAATAACTGTGRAATGCTTAGAGCTTCTAAGTCAGCATTCCTTCTTACACTTGATTAACAAAATCAACACCCTTCAGTCCCATGCCCCAGTACTTGCTACATAAATTGCCAGACTTGGGTAGGAAGGGATGAGCATTCTTCTCCTTTTACCCACCTCTACCCCTTATCTTGATTAAAYCACCCAGAGCACTACTTCACATTCGGTGAAGCCAATATTGTGAACATCTGACTTGACCCACATATTAAATGACTTAAACAGATGTTAAAATACCTAGAATTTACATAGACATTTACATTCAGCAGGATAAGGAAGGCTTCAGAACCAGGTTCAACCTTGGACATTAGGGACTGGGAAAATGGCTCAATGCCAGACATTTGACATGCAGAATTCAGTTCTCTCTCAGACCCCTTGTCATTGAGAGAAGCAAATTTCAAATACCTACACCCAAACAATGGAATTGARTTTTAAACTGACTCTTATATAGATTTTCCTATAAACCACTGCATCACACACAACATAAAGTTCCTCTCTACCAGATCCATCTTTCAATAAGAGATATAGCCAGGCACAGTGGTACATGCCTATAATCCTAGAAGCTCAGGAGGCTGAGGCAGGAGGATCACGAGTTCAAAGCCAGCCTCAATAACTCAGTGAGACCCTGTCTCTAAATAAAATACAAAAAAAGGGATAGGGATGTGAGTGGTTAAGTTCCCCTGAGTTCAATCCTCAGTATGAGGGGGAAAAAAACGGGAGGCTGAAATATCTCAGTGGTAAAGTACTTCTGGGTTCAATCCCCAGTATTAAAACCAACAGACTACAAGCACCTTCCTCAAGGCCAACAAGGGGCAAAGAAGCACTGCTTTGTTTAGAAACAAACCTTAAACCATTTTTAAGAAATCTGAATGCTTTTGGTAAGAGAGCCAGGCACTTTCCTGAAGGGAGAAAAACTGTTAGTGACTCCCCTGTGCATTTTCCTCCACTTGTCAATCAGGCACTGGTGGTAGGACAACCCGGCAGATCTTTGGGACGTTCACTTTTGGTTCAAATCTCTATTGTGACTCATTCTGGCTCAAGACTGACTTAATGCCATCAGCAAAGCTCCCTCTTCAAAAGATCTAAAGGATCACAGATGGCAAAGGGTACCTTCATGACAAAAGGGCAATGTTCCCAAATTCAAAACCCACAGGGGAAACAAAAACAAATGAAATTATAAACGTCAGGATGTTATGCTGCTTGCAAATTCAAATTCTGATTTATACTAGTGCCATATAGCCAAAATGAAACTCCATAAGCAGGGATATGCCAGAGTGGGAGCTAGTGAAATAGTTATTTTAATCTAATCAGTTTTATACACAATGTTACAAAGTTGTATGTCAGTCCCAATAGTCCCCTATGTATCTGAATATTACAAAGAAACTACTACAGAGAAAACACATTTGTTTTGTATAAGTGTACAAGGAACTGAGAGGGGAAAGATGCCTTCTGGATCAGATTTTCATTTTTTCCCACAGTAAGCAAAAGCAAGGCAAGGCACTAATAATACCTTCCTTTCTCATACTCATTAGTATGAAATAAAATGCAAAAACATTCTACCATAGATTGGGGAGATTTGAGGCAGGAGGATTTCAAGTTCAAGGTCAGCCACAGGAACTTAAGACTGGAGATGTAACTCATGAGATCAATATCCAATTCAAAAAAATAGAAAGAAAAAAGAAAAACTTGTCCAAATACTCCAGATTTATACTATTTTCTGYAAATATTTGAGATTTGTCTCACACATGCTTATAAAACATTAATTTGTTACTGTTTTAACTCACAAGAAGAAAGTGCTCTAAGAAATACCATAGCCTTCCCTATACCTCCTTCATGGTTTAAGTGTATTAAAAGGCAAAAATGATTCAAAGTATTGGTATTCTGAATTGTTACTGTTTTCTCCTACCCTAAAAATAACTAAGATTTGGGGCTGGAGTTGTAGCTCAGTGATAGAGCTCTTTCCTCGCACATGTGAGGCACTGGGTTCAATCCTCGGCACCACATAAAAAATACATAAACAAAAAAAGTTTTTGTGTTCATCTACAACTAAAAATATTTTTAAAAAACAAATAACTAAAATTTAATCTCCACTGAAGCACTGGTACATAAAACAACTGAATCAATTATAACCACTACACTAATTCTCTCTGCCTTTATGGGTAATTCACTCTTTCTCCCCCCATTGGTTCTCCCTGACTGAGGCCTATAACCATATATCTATCCTCAAGAATAAGAAAACTGGCTGGGATTGTAGCTCAATGGTACAGCACTTGCCTCSCATCTGAGGAGCACTAACTGGGTTCAACTCTCAGCACCATATATAAATAAGTGAATAAAATAAAGGTCTATCAACAACTAAATGTATGTGTATAAATTTTTTTTTAAAAGAGAACTTAGGATTTCTAGACCTCAGGCTACTAATAAGAAAATTACTTAGGCACAGGCTTAACAAAAACCTGGAAGGGCTGCAGCAAGTGATCAGATTTGCACCACTCATCTTGGTAAGATAGGACCCAGAGGGACCCATCCCTGCTGACATCAACCACTCTTACCAGTAGGCTACCAACACACAAGCAATCTGCAATAGAACATTGCAGACTGCAGGGCATTTGGAGGCTACATAGCACCAAAGTTTCTAGAACAGGAACTGAGGCTTGGAAGAAGGTCAATGCAGCACACTCAGCGAATGGATAAACTGAATCATCATTTCACAAGGCTGCAAGTCCATTCAGTAGTCAAATCTGAACATAGAAATAAATAGAAAAAGATTCCACTGAATTAAGTTCATGTCTAGAAATCCATCTAATTAGTTGATATCTGGACTATCTTCAAATGAGTTCACAAAGCAAAAAGGGTTGGGTGAACCATATGATCTGCAAGTATCTCTTGGCACAAAAATCCTACTGGGAAACAACCACAACACTGCAAGAGAAAAAGCTCCCATAGTTGAAAAAAAAATATTTCTTTCATTCAGAGCTAAAGCCCTTCACCTCCACCCAAAATTTGCATATTTATGATTTGCCTTTGGGGTTTTCCTTAAAAAAAAAAAAAAATCAACAAATGCCAGTGCAAAGTGATGCATGCCTATAATTCCAGCAATTCCAGAGAATGAGGCACAAGGACTGCAAGCCTAGCAACTTCATGAGAACCTAACTCAAAATAAAGAGCTGGGCACGGTGGTGCACACCTGTAATCCCACTGCCCAGAAGACTGAGGTAGGAGGACCTCAAGTTCAAAGCCAGCCTCAGCAACTCAGCAAAACCCCATGTCCAAATAAATACATTAAAAAATAAGCAATCAAGCAAAAGGGAATGTAGCTCAGTAGAGCACTCTGGATTCAATCCCTAGTACCAAAAAACAAAAAAACAAATTAAAAAAAAAAAAACCAAAGCCCATGTCCCTCTTTTAGAAACTTCTCTTTTTTTGGTGCAGGGGAACAAACCCAGGAATGCTAGGCAATTGCTCTACCAATCAACCACATCCCCAACCCAGAGACTTTAATTATTATGGTACTTAAATAAGTTTACCACATTCATGACACATGATGTCCTACAGCCATCTTCTTTTCCTGTTTCAAAAAGAAAAAGCAGAACTTACAAAGTTCTGAAAGTCTTTTCTAAAAATATGGGTATCAAGTTTACAAGTTTCCTTAAATACTAACTTTTGCTGCATACTTCTTTGACCACTGGCTATTTGAGATATTCAGATTTCTAATCTATATACTGTTCTTAATTTGCTCAAAAAACAAAGCCCTGGTAGTAAAGATAGCAAGCAAAATTAAATAAACAGTAGGATTTAAAATCATCTCACCACAGCACAATTCTCAGTGAGCTTTAATTTTTGCTCACAGAGCTTTTACAGGTGTTATGGCACAAGAACCCCAGGTTTACAATGTCCAAACCCAGGACTTCATTCACAAACATAACATATACAAAGTTGCCCCTTTATAACCTTTAAGTGCCCCAGAACCTGCTGAAGACAACCATTTAACATTTTTCAACAAAGTTCTTCGATATTAGTGGAAAAGCTACCAAAGATATCAAATCAATTATCTAAGTTTTATGTTACTTCCTTACACAATCATAAACCTCAAGAACTTGCACCAAACTAGCCAACTAAGACTRGCATCTATAACACAACTTTACTCCAGCCTTTAGCACATCATTTTAGAGTCAGTTTAAATGGTGATTTTCAATCAAGGGTCAATCTACTGGGCCTCAAAGGACATTTGACAAAGGCTACAGATATTTCTGACTATCCGAATGAAGGAGAGGAGGCTGCTGTTACCTAGGAGAGGCTGATAATGTTGTTCAACAACCAACTATATATGTACAAGACAAGTTCCCAAAACAAAATGTCAACAGTGCTCAAGTTGGAAAAAATCCTGGCTTAAAGTAAACTTCTAGATTAGATGTTGTCACTTACTATGTCTTACCAAATGAGAATTCAGATCTCAGAAAAAGTCAAATCTAGAAAATTCTCAAATAACCTCTTGGTCATTTCTTCCTGTAACCAAAAAATAGGAGATCATCATAAATTGTCAAAATAGTATTCACAAATGGGGACCTTAAGACACTGTGTGCAAGTTACTGATCCAGAACTAGGGCGTGGGCAGCTTTGATAAGTCATACTTCCTGGAAAAAATAGTCATGAGTGTAACAAAAAACATTAGACCACGAAAATTGGTAAATTTGGACTTAAAGCTGGTCAAAAWTCAGGAATGGCCCTGCAGGACATTTCTCCATCCTAGCTTAAGTGCCCTCACCCCTAAAAGTTTCCAAATCAGTTAAGAACAGATTTCAATCTTAGACAGCTTTTTCTTTCCAAATGTTCAGCTTACTTCAGTCCATTCACAATAAAGGAGAGAAATCTGAAGCTTTTCAGAACCAAAGAGACTATCACCCACACAAAAATGCTGTTACATTTGATTTGCCCTTACACTAATGGGAAAGACCAAATTAACCATGCAACTTTTCCCCTGATTTTTGAGGAACAAGCAAACACATTAGGCATAAGGATATTACAAATACTGGAGTGTTCAGCTACCAGACACAGCTCAATACTTTCAGTTTTGCTCACTTTTCCAAAATGAGTATATACTAGCATTCAAAATCCTCAATAATCAATTTTACCCTCTACTTTTGTTTTAACCCCATAGGGTGGTAGGATCTATGCAAATCCATGAATTCCACCCTTGTGGAAATTGCAAACTAAAGCAAATAMCATCTAAACATTAAGCTAACATGTAAATGTTTCTGTATGATGCAGGCACATACACCTGAAATTCCAGCATATTGGGAAGCTAAGGCAGGAGGATTTTAAGTTTTAGGCCTGACTGGGCAAGTCAGCAAGACTGTCTCAAAATTTAAAAAAAGAATTAAGTAGGGACGTACCTCAGTGAGAAAGCAACCCTAGACTCAATTCCAAGTACCATCCCCCTCCCCAAATATTTCAGTTGACTAACAAACTATAAAACTATTTTTTTTTTGGTGGTGGTGGCGGGTTGCACCAGGGACTAAACCCAGGGGTACTTGGCCACTGAGCTACATTACCCAGCCGCAGTTTGTATTTTATCTAGAGACAGGGTCTCACTGGGTTGCCGCCCCTTGCTGAGACTGGCTTTGAAATAGTGATCCTCCTGTTTCAGCCTCTGAACAGCTGGTGTGCCACCGAACCAGGCTAAAACTGTTTTTTTAATCAAGATTTTACCCAAGACTTGGCCACAAACTCCCTATTGGATAAACTGTAAAACKATCTAGACCTGATCCACCACAGCACAATACTAGTTATCAGCACAGATCAGGCAGCAAAATGAAGGGTAATTTATTTCTGTAACTTTGTCAGAAGGATCCCAGGGACACCAAAGCCAGCCTCACCAACTTAGTGTGACCCTGTCTTAAAAGTAAAAAGGTAGCTCAGTGGTAAAGAACCCATAGTTTCCAAACAAGTATCTTCGCTACTGATAGACCAAGTTCCTGGAACTTGAGAGGCAGTTTTTAGTGTTCATAACCCTCTTCCAATTTTGATGGAGAATCAGGGTGCTGRGGAAGTCATTTTAAAAACCAATTTAAATAAATAAGGTGAGCTGAAGCAATCAAATCTTTTTTGTTGTTGCTGTTTTGGGACAGGGTCTGGCTAGGTTGCTGAGGCTGGCTTTGAACTTCAAATCCTCCTACCTCAGCCTCCTGAGCTGCTATGATTCAAGCAGCCCTAGTTCCAATCCCTGGTACCCCTCACCAAAGAAAATAAGAAAAACAAATGGCTATAAAAACTTCTATCCAAAACCTACATTTTGAAGAGAAAAATAMCCCGAATACTCAAAGAAACTAACTTCAAGTTCTCACTTTGATTTAAATGAACCTCTTTCAACTTAAAAAAATCAAGCCCCTCCCGTGTACAAAGCTGTTTCAATAATACAATGGCGCCCTTGTTCCAACAGTCCAGTTGCTTAGCCTGCAACTTCGGGTATTTATTTACTAGAAGAATACTTTCTCCAAAGATGCCTGTGAGTTCGAAAGAGCTGTTTTTAACATGGATCCAAAGTTCTTAAATTTGAGAGCGCCTAATTGTTTTATATTTTATTTTTAAAATTTTCTGTCAAGAAAACTATATGATGATTCTGCATTTAAGATAGCGGCTCCGAACAATTCAAACTTAAAGGACCAATAAAGAGTGGAGACTCACCTCTAAATCTTTAATTGGCTATAGTAACCTCAGTTTATGGCATTTGCAATCTTTTGGACTTCAAGAAACGTGCCTGGGGCTTACATAAATACACAGAATTTAAAAATAAAAGCGCAGCTCAGTAAACATTTCAGACCTACTAAAAATTACACAACTCCCACGAGGACGCATTTAGCGTTTACGAAGTTGCAAGGAACATGCTACAGATTTGAATTTCCCCAGTTGTTTGGGCTAAAAAGACCCTTTTCTTAAAGGGGGTTGGGAGAGGCRCCAGTTTGGAGACTACAAACCACTGACTTTTGTTTCATAATGAGTAAATTTCACGTCCACCTTCCAGTCACCAACGGAAGTTTTATGAACTTCTAATATTAAAACACATTCCGGGGTTTTCGAGAATTAGWCAAGGAGACTGGCCAAGAGACTACTCGGTATCGGTTATCAGGCAGTGGAGGAGTGTTTCCTAAGTAGGGTCCTTCCAGCATGTGTGGTCGTCTCCCCAATGGGAGAATCGGGGGYCACCAGGATGACCCCGGGCAGTCTTCAGATGAAACAGAGCACAAAAGGGGCACCAGATCTCGCAGGTGTTACGGTACTGGGGGGGGGGGGGGGGGGGGGGTCCAAGAGCAGCCAGGTCCCTGGGAGAGGGTGGAGAAAGGAACAAGGCTCCGGGAGGTCGACTGGGCCTCCCGTCCTGGAGACTGAGGGGAGGACCTCACCTTGTTACGGTCCTCCTCCTGCTGCTGCAGCAACTCGGGAACCGCGGCCATGGCGACGCGGGCCTAGAGCAGGGGCCGCCTGGCTGTGCGAGGAAAGAAGAGGCTGGGCCACCACCGCCAGGGCGCCTCTCAGGGGCGACCGCGGCCCCGCCTCCGCTGGCCTCCCTGCCCGACGGCGGCAGGAGGCCTTGGGACTCCGCCACCATCCCAGCAGCCCCGGGAGCAGGCAAACGGCGCGCCACGTGCTCCCCTAGAGCGGCCTCCCCGTCCCGGCTGCCGTCCATCTTGGAGCCGGGCAAAGAAGTAATGCGGGGCCTACCCTCGCTCCGCACCACGCGGAGACCGCTGACCCGAGGACTGCGACGCGGAGCGGAGCCACTGACTCTCTTCCTGCGAGGCACGCTTCAACAGAGAGATCACGAACCTGTACCAAGCAATTTATTGCTCAGCCCGAGTCCAAGATGGCGACGAGAGGTGACGTATGCAAGATCTCGTGAGAGAGAAAGTACGAGATTTGGAGATGCCCGCGCTTCAGCACGAGGGGTGGGACTCCCTATGGGTTGCTTGCCTATGGAGGCTTGAGAAAGGACAGGGGGTGGGGCGTGAGCGCCGCAGTGMATGACGGGGCTGTCTTGCCTGGGGCGGGGCTTGACTCCAGGCCAAAGCGCGGGACTGATAAAATTAGGATTCCCGAGAAGGTGTTGGCGCCCTGGGAGTTAACAAAGCGTGGTGGCGTCCAAGGTACTAACCCTGCTGTAGGCTGACGTTCTGTTTCAGTTGTAACTCTTCCCTGAGCCACATTATCCCCACACGGCCCACAGCCGCTCTGTCCCCGCCGTGGGTCTGCACCTGCTGTGGAGCGGGAGACCACGTTGTCCGGATAGGTCGGCGGGCCCTGCTGACCGCGGCTTACTAGCTCCAACCTGTAACAAGGCCACCTTTCAGAAGTTCKAATTTCACGTCCGTAAAACGGGATCACTATAATGCCCACTCTAGAGTGTGTGAGGATTAAATAAGAAATATCCGTATATTTAACAAAAAAMCTGATATTTAGAGATCCATAATTACGACTCGCGGCTTTTGCAGGACGCTTCTCATCKTTCTATTTTGCGGTCTCCCAGGAAAACCTTCCTTCCTGAGCGTCGCATCTCTTAAGATTAAAGATTAGGGGCGTCTTACCCAAATAGTTGGCATTTAATAAGTGCTAGCCTTTCTGGGATTGATTCTTTCATGGGAARTAGCTTTCTGCAAACACGTCGAAAAGGTTTACTGAATACAGTTAGATATGCAACGTGATTCCGATGCAGCTTTCACWGGTGGTTCAAATATGTTATAGGTCTGGTATCTAACACCACTTTTCTTTTTAATAGGAATACAAAATAAAAAAGGTTCTCGACATTGCAGAGATAGAAGTGAAAAAAAAAATTAAAGATGAAAGCATTTCAGACCATTTGCAGGCATCTCAGAAGTTTAAAGGGATTTTCTGTAGAGCCAGCTCCCCTTGTGAATTTCTCCACTTCCCTTTATTCATGTGGCCGGAAGAAAAAAAACCCTTATGAAGAAGTGGACCAAACAAAATACTCTAGTTTAGTAAGGTCTGTTTTGTCATTCAGAGGCCTTGCCCAGACTCCAGAATCATTGTTTGAGGAAGATTGTTTACTCTATGGACCCGTGACTAAACATAAACTCTCAAAGCAAGATAAGGGGGCAAGAGTCCCACGAAACTGGTTTCCCATCTTCAATCCAGAGAGAAATGACTCTTCTGATCCAAATGATTCTTCAATGCCTTTGAAAATCCCTTTGCAAAGGAATATGATACCAAGTGTGACCCGGGTACTTCAGCAGACCATGACATCACAACAGGTTTTCTATTTGGAGAGGTGGAAACAGCGAATGATTCTGGAGCTGGGAGAAGATGGCTTTGCAGAATACACCTCAAGTAATTCTCTTAATTCTGGTTCTATAATTTTTAGAATATAGAGAAAGTATTGGTATCAAAAGAACCGAAGATGGTTTCTGTTGGGGGGGGGGGGTAGTAAGGATTGAATCCAGGGATTCCCTACCACTGGGCTACAGTTTCAACCCTTTT